CCAGCCTGGGTGACAGAGAGAGACCCTGTCTCAAAAAATTAAAAAAAAAAACAAAAAACTGAGCACATATACACAGAGATAAATATAGGCCTACAAATCACAAGACACACAAACACAGACTCAGATACACAAAATTACACACACATCTCTTTCACAAAGAAAGCAAACTCAGACCCACAGAAGCATTTGTTCGGACTGAAAGTTTGAAACCCATGCAGAGAAACACACACAAGCACAGAGACCCACAGGACACGCTGAACCTGAACACATACAGAAACCAAGCTCTCTCCCACTGATGAGCAGAAGCACACACACTTAGTTGTGTGCAGGAATAGCGTTTCTCCCTTTCTAATTCCCTGTCTGTAATCGCTGCCATTCTGAAATGAGTATGTTTCTGTCCTAGTCCACAGTGGGGGTAGAGGTTGCCTGAAGATGAAGCCAGGGTTCCTGCCAGTTCTGGAAACAGTCCTGGTGCTCCCTGGAAATACCTTTGAATTGGGGGTTGGGCAAAGAAGAGAAGAAAGGCTGGGATGGTAGGAAGAGAGACACCGGGAAAAATGGCTGATGGAAGAAGAGCAAAGGCAGGGAAGAGAAATGAAGATGACATAGCCTCCGGGCCCCCACCCACCAAGACCCAGGAGTCCAGGTCTCCAGCCCCCTCCTCTCTCAGACCGAGGAGTTCAGGCCCCAGCCTCCTCCTCCCTCAGATCCAGGAGTCCAAGCCACTAGCCCCCTCCTCCCTTAGACCAGGAGTCCAGGCCCCCAGCCCCTCCTCCCTCAGACCCAGGAGTCCAGGCCCCCAGCCCCTCCTCCCTCAGACCCAGGAGTCCAGGCCTCCAGCCCCTCCTCCCTCAGATCCAGGAGTCCAGGCCCCTAGCCACTCCTCCCTCAGGCCCAAAAGCCCATGCCCCCAGCCATGGATTCAGTACTGGATTCAGAAGTTTGGTACCTGTCAGGCAGAGCGTAGTCCCAAAGAGGCAGAAGAGAATGACTCTGGGGACCCCCATTGCCATTGCTGAGCTGGGCCACCTGGGACAGCGCCTCCCACAGTGATGTGCTGCCTGGCTGGTTCCCTCTACTGAGTCCTAAGCATCCCGGCCACCCAGCCTGGCCAGTATTTCTCTGTCCCACCCTCCCTATGTGGGCGGATCTCTTCCTAGGTAATCGTGATGGAACCAGAATGATTCTCAGTTGCTGGAGAACTGCACTTCTGGGTGTGAGGGAGGAGGAACTATAAGTCTGGAACCCTTAATTTTGAATGATTGGTGTCTTGCTGGCCTTCTTCCTACACCCCTCCCCACACTCTGCTCTAGTCTGAAAGTGGCACACGTGGCCTTTCAACTTTCCTTCTCTCCCACCACCCCAACACACACCACCCACACAGCTTCCAATCCTGGGGCCACGTCTCCACACCCAAAGACACACTTGTCATTCCCTCCTCTAAGACTTCCCTGACTCCCATCTCCCCACTCATCCACACATCCTCAGCCTCCAGCACCTCCCTGCCTCCCAGCCCTGATCAAACTAGGCTGGGCTAGCGTCTGTCTCTGCTACCAGGCTGTGAACTCTTCAGGGGCCTCCAGGAATGTCTGAGATATTGTATGAATGAACAAATGAATCAATGAACGGAGACACAAACAGAGAGGCACCAAGAGACAAGTAGGGAGAGACAGACATCTACAAGAGAGAAACAGAGAAAGAGGAAGAGAGGGAGAGTGCCTTTGAGGAAGGAATTACACACATGATGCAGAAAGACAGACACAGCCTGGTGTGGACAGATGTGAATGTGTGGTCACACACACAAACCCAGGAATCGAGGAAAGACATGACATGCTGCCAGGTGTTTAATAAACATATTAAATGGAGAAATCAGAAAGATAGAGATATAGCAGACAGCCAAAGGGACACTCCCCTGAGGACACAGACCCACGTATGCTCAGACACCCAGCAGATAATGACATCCAGAGGAGGCCCCAGCAACTGGTTGGTGCCGGAGCAGACACCCCAGGCTAGCATCTCCTGGTTTGTCTCACTTCTTGCTGCTTGGAGACGCTGCCTGCTAGGATCAGACTCATCCACTAGCCACAGAGTGGGCATCAGCCATGTGCAGACACGTAGAATCTCAGACCCATGTGTGGATGGGAGAGTCCAAGTAACGCTGGTGACCAAAAGAGCCTTAGTGATCCCCTCAGATGGACAAAACTTTAGACAGACCTCTTCCTGATTCTTGGCCCCGGACCACCCTTTTTGTAGAGCCCTTACTTTAGAAAACTTGTAGTCATCCCTCGGTCTCTGCAGGGGATGGATTCCTTGGCTTCCAGTAATAACAAAATCGAACAGTGCTCAAGTCCCTGATATAAATGGTGTCATATTTTCATACTATGCACATACTCCCATATGCTTTAAATAATCTCTGGATGATTCATAATACCTAATATCATGAAAACAATATGTAAATAGTTGTCACGTCATATTGTTTTCTAGTTCTATTATTTTTCATTTTTGTTTCAAAATATTTTTTTATCCAAAGTTGACTGAATCCGTGGAGGCAGAATCCCTTGGACACAAAGGGCCAAATATAATTACGCATTCTTTCTCTGCCCCTCCACACCCTCTCCCCACCCCACCTTTTTTTTTTTTTGAGACAGAGTCTTGCTCTGTGACCCAGGCTGGAGTGCAGTGGCGTGATCTCAGCCTACTGCAAGCTCTGCCTCCTGGGTTTAAGTGATTCTCCTGCCTCAGCCTCCCAAGTAGCTGGGATTACAGGCATGTGCCATCATGACTGGCTAATATTTGTATTTTTAGTAGAGACAGGATTTTGCCATGTTGGCCAGGCTGGTCTTGAATTCCTGACTTCAAGTGACCCACTCGCCTCGGCATCCCAAATTGCTGGAATTACAGATGTGAGCCACCACGCCCCGCCTTCTCTGCCCCTTTGAAATGTAGATAAATCCTCTCCTGGCCTCTTGCCAGCATGAAAACCCAGCAATGTCTTTTTCAAGGACCTGGGAATTATTCCTTAGAAATCATCAAAGGAGATAGTACCCCTATCTCCCAGTCTCTGTGGGAGGGTAGGAGCCCCACTTTGATAACTGACGATCAGCAAACTCAGATGGCCCAATCACAGAGAAAAACATTTGCAGCTTCGGGAATAACTCCAAGTGACGGGCACATCCCATCGGCCCACTCTCCCTGTTGTCCGCCCATATTTTTCCATTAATTCACCTAGGGCTTAGACACTCCATTTGTTTCAGTGGAGTTGAGTTCAGTCTCTCTCCCTATTGCCATCACCTTGAATAAAGTCTCCCTTGCCTGTGCAATTTTTCTTTGACAGCAGACACCCAGCCACTGTGGACACTCACCAGGCTATGCCCTCGCTTACCCTCATCTTGCCAAATCCCTCCCCTTACATCAGGCATCACTTCCCAGAACGTGTTTTGCATCCAAATTATTCCTCCTTCCTGATTCTCCAATTCCTGCCTCAGGCTCTCAGTGGGGGGGGTCTATCCAGACTGGGGCAGGGTTGTGCTCAGGACCTCTGGAGAGTAAAGTCTTGCCAGGAAGGAGGATGGGTTTGCTGAACCCCCGTGGAAGGTGGAGGCACTGGAGGTCTTCACAGCAGTTGTCAGTTTCAGGGATTGAGGCTTACAGGGTAGGCAGACCAGTCTGGTGAGTATGTGAGCATGTGAGTGATGTGTGCACTTTTGATTCTGGTATCCTTCAAGTACTTTCGGAGACTTTGAAGTGTCAGTTCCCCGCACCTTATGGGAGCTTCCATCTGGCTATCCTCATCTGCCTGGTGTCTGAGTGTCTGTTGAATGCCTTAGAATGTTCTCAAGGATCTTCTGTTGCATTCCATCAGTTTTCACGTATAGTTCCATTTCCAATCATGTTTGCAAACATCTGGCCTCTCAAAAAAGTTTTCCGTATTTTATTTTCATAAGCACTTTATTAAATGTGTGTATCTTCTAGGCTTTGTGGCCTAAACAGTTGAGAAGTATTTAGTATTTCTTGCCTTATTTGACATGACTCCATTAATCAAATATATCATAATTGTAATGTGTTTTAGATGTTATTTCCTTTTTTTTATTATTTATTTTTTTCTTTTATAAAGATGGGGTTTCACTATGATGGTCAGGCGGGTCTTGAACTCCTGACCTCAGGTGATCCACCTACCTCAGCCTCCAAAAGTGCTAGGATTACAGGCGTGAGCCACCACACCCGGCCTTAGATGTTATTTCCTAAGTAATGTGGGATATCACTTGCTTCCAATCTTCATGTTCTGCATAAATGTTCTTCCATACATTATCAAAATTGTGAAATTTTTTTTTGGAACTCTAGTCATTACCTTGTCAAAAATTGAATCATGCAGATTGTATGCCAATATGTTATTTTGTTATTTTTATTTTTTTGAAACCGAGTCTCACTCTGTTGCCCAGGCTGGAGTGCAGTGGCGCCATCTTGGCTCACTGGAACCCGAGCTTCCCAGGTTCAAGTGATTCTCCTGCTTCAGCATCCTGAGTAGCTGGGATCACAGGTGCCTGCCACTGTGCCCGGCTAATTTTTCTATTTTTAGTAGAGACAGAGTTTCACCATGTTGGCCAGGCTGGTCTCAAACTCCTGACATCAGATGATCCACCCACCTCAGCCTCCCAAAGTGCTGGGATTACAGGCATGAGCCACCATACCTGGCCTATTTTTGTTTTGTTTTGTTTTGAGAGAGAGTCTCATTCTGTTGCCAGGCTGGAGTGCAGTGTCGTGATCTTGACTCACTGCAACCTCCACCTCTCGAGTTCAATTGATTCTCCTGCCTCAGCCTCCTGAGTAGCTGGGATCACAGGCATCTGCCACCATGCCCAGCTAATTTTTGTATTTTTAGGAGAGACAGGGTTTCACCACATTGGCCAGGCTGGTCTAGAACTCCTGGCCTCAGGTGATCCACCTGCCTTGGTCTCCCAAAGAGCTGGGATTATGGGCATGAGCCACCAAACCAGCCTCTTTCTTTTCTTTCTTTTTTTTGAGACAGAGTCTTGTTCTGTCTCCAGGCTGGAGTGCAGTGGCGCAATCTCGGCTCACTACAACCTCCACCTCCTGGGTTCAAGTGATTCTCCTGCCTCAGCCTCCCAAGTAGCTGGGACTACAGATGCGTGCCACCATGCCCAGCTAATTTCTGTATTTTTAGTAGAGGCAGGGTTTCACCATATTTGCCAGGATGGTCTTGATCTCTTGATCGAGATCTGCCCTCGTGATCTGCCTACCTCGCCCTCCCGAAGGGCGGGGATTACAGGTGTGAGCCACCATGCCTGGCCCACCGTCTCATTTTTAAATAATGTGTGATAACTGTGCTCACCTGTGTTGCTGCAGGCTGGGCTCTCCTGGGAGGCAGATTGTGAGGCTGAGATTAGCGTGCAGGACCTTGGGATCAACAGCTGCGTAAGGGAGGGAAAGGAAACTGGATTGAGCAGAGGGAGAGTTTGGGTCCTGATTAAGTCAAACCAAGGGTTCAGTGCGCCCCAGGGAGAGGTCTGGCACTGGGCTTGTGGGTTCTGTTCAGCTGAGGCAATGCCCAAGGGGCTGACATCAGACACAGAGGTCAGAGTCCTTCATTCCTGAAGAGATTTTGGTGGCAAATCACAGCATCCACCACACTACACATTTCTTTGCTTTAGTGTATTTTTCTCCACCTCTTTGAAATAAAGATTCATTACAGAATCCTTCGAGATGAAACAAAGTTACCTGATCTGGTCATTTATTCCTCAGTTGAAAAAACTGATGTGAAACAACTTTTCTGTCTACTGTTACTGTCTTTTAGAAGTTAAATGCTCTTTTTTTTTTTTTTTTTTTTTGTTTAATAAAACTTTTTTTTTTTTTTTTACGACAGGGTCTCATTCTGTTGCCTAGGCTGGAGTGCAGTAGTGTGGTCTTAGCTTACCTCTGCCTCCCAGGTTCAAGTGATTCTTAGGTTTCAGCTTCCAGAGTAGCTGGGATTACAGGTGTGTGACACCATGCCCAGCTAATTTTTGTATTTTTAGTAGAGACGGAGTTTCACCATGTTGGCCAGGCTGGTCTCAAACTCTTGACCTCAAGTGATCCA